GAGAGCGAGAGCGAGAGCGAGAGCGAGAGCGAGAGCGAGAGCGAGAGAGAGAGAGAGAGAGGAGGGGACAAGCAGCCCCTTTTATAGTGAGTCAGGTACACCTGGCTGTTGCCAGGTAACTGTGGGGCGGGGCCTAGACAAAATGCCGACAGGAACTCTTCAAACATTTTGCTGTTTAGTCATAATAGCGACCATCAAATCAGAGTTTGATACTGTCTTAATCATGACCTTGTAGGACATGAGAAATAATTGCTAATTAATAGCAGAAATCTTAAGGTTTATACCTCTGTGATGGCTGTCACAGTTACTAAAATTTGCTGTAAAATACCATTTAAACAATATTGTGGAGTGTTACAGCTTGTTGTAATCTGTACTATAGTGTAAGTTAAGACTCAAAATGTTGGAATGATGAATGCATTCTTTTCTGTCAGTTAACTAGGCAAGACGAATCAAATGCCTACCATATGAAAACTTATCTTAATTTTTTTTCTTTTTTAAAGAACATCATGACGGATGTAGAAACGAATTTTTACTTTTTGGTTGTCCAATTAAAGTTCAAAGTAGTTATATCAACTAAAACCAGTGTTTTCTTTTGAATTGTTGGCCCAGTACGGAGTCTAAAGTATGACCTTGTGAAGATAGCCACACCTTTGGATTCTCTTAAATTCAGCTGAAAGTATTGAGTGGCCTGAGGACAAGGTAAACAGAGGGCTACACACCATTCTTGGAGCATTTAAAGCACATGAATCAAATTAACCAATTGTTCAATTAAATACCTTGTTGAATGAATATTCATAAAAACAGATTAAAAGATGCATAGAGTTTTTCTAAGATTAGTTTTACAAGGTGAGCACGTGGTTCAGTGATAGGGCACCTGTCTAATTCCCAACCCCAGGTATTATTACCTGATGTTTTAAGGTAGTTTATAAAAATGATTTCTCTCTCTCTCTCTCTCTCTCTCTCTCTCTCTCTCTCTCTCTCTGTGTGTGTGTTTGTGTGTACATATATATAAATATATGTTCATGTGAATAAAAATTCATACATATATACATACATATGTATGTATATATATATGCTTTATTTATTTATTTATTTATTTATTGAGACAGAATCTTTCTATGTAACTCTGGTTGGTCTGGAACTCACTATGTTGAACAAGGTGGCCTGGAACTTGTGATTTTTACTTGAGTTTCCTAGGTGCTGGGATTATGGGCATTCTCTACCATACCTGTCTGTGATTTATATAATTACCAACCATATAATTTAAATTATGTAACTATAGCTTATAATTATATAATTATTGTTCTGTGGTCATGGGGTTACAATTATTGCTATAAATCGTTATTTCAATACAGCCACTGGTTGGTTTGTCCTTATTAAAGTTAACAAAAATCTGGTGTTTTGTTGGCTACTTTGATCAAATTATTAAAAACTCACTTTTTTCAAAGCACAAAAAAGTGACTGCATCTTTCTAAAATATAAAAGTAAATATTGAACATTGAAAATGATAAAGTTATGTTCATGTGAATAAAAATTCAGAATTATAAAATTTCAAACTAAATATAAATACAATTAATAACTTCAAATTTTAAATTAAAATTATCCACATAAAATTGATGATATTTTAAACTTAATGTTTTGGGAATATAATCAAATTCTATTAAATATTAAAGAAGCGAATTCTTTCCTTGTGCTGATGCCGTTCTGTCTGACACCTGCAGATTGCATAGCCTGTAACCTTTGTATTTAAGGCATTTGAGTTATAAGAATTTTCCTGGAGTCCTCCATTACTAGAGTGGTACAGCGTATTTCAGGTTATTAATACTGAATGTTGGTTCTCAAGCAGTAAAATGTATCCATCTGTTTCTTAATACATTTTAAAGTTTTATTAAGTGATTTGTTAATTGTTCATATATGGCTTTGATATTCTCTAAATCCTGGCAGAGACCCAGCTTTCCAGAATATAAAGGTGAAATCATCATATATTTCTTTTTTTTTTTTTCTGGTTTTTCAAGACAGGGTTTCTCTGTATAGCCCTGGCTGTCCTGGAACTCACTCTGTAGACCAGGCTGGCCTCGAACTCAGAAATCCGCCTGCCTCTGCCTCCCAAGTGCTGGGATTAAAGGCGGGCACCACCACCGCCCAGCAATTTCTATTGCTCCAATAAAACACCACGAACCAAGAATATGTACAGAATTAAGAGTATACTGGAGATTACCATTCTAGAGAAATAGGACTTCACGATGACAGAGCGGTTGGCAGCTAGAGTTGTAAGCTGAGGGATTATTACATCTTGCTCTGCATTGACAGAGACACTGTGAATAGCGCAACACCTTGAAACCTCATAGCTCGTCCCTGGTGACATGCTTTCTCTAGCAAGACCACACTCCCTAAACTTACCCAAGCAAACTCTAGATCATGGAGGTCATACCACCATAGGAGATGATAGTGCTGTTTTGCCCGCTGTCTTTCGTCTTGGAAGAACACCTGTAGTCACTATAGTGTTTTCTAGGCAACACAGTTCATCGGGTTGGGAAACATGGCAAATGACTCTGTGCCCTCTTGCTGACTCATCTTTGTATGCATGGAAGAATTCCAACTGAGATTTATGTTCCTGGTAACATTCCACATTATTATAAGGTGGTGGAAGACAACTGGACCTTTTCCCTAACAGTAATTCTTTGGGAGCGACCAAAAATATCCAGTCATTGTTAATAGGAAATTGTTTGAGTTTCATTCTTCTGAGTGGAAACTTGACAAAGTTTTCTAAACTTGTCGAACAGGACAGAGTCTTCTTTCAACTGTGAGTTCAGTGAGGAAGCCTGATTTCAGCGAGGCTTGTAAAGTTCATTACATGTGACTCTGCAGTGCCTCTTAGTGGTTAGAAATATATTCCAAGATCTTACCAGCCACCACACAGGTAGGTTTACTTCTAGTGTTTCCATATAGCTCATGTATCATAAATTTTCTTGATGCACTAGAACACCTCTTACCCATGATCAAGCATTTACACACGGAAACTCACTTGACAACCTGTTGTCAGCTTTCCAGCTTGCATAAATGACAATTCTGTCTCAGAGCATATATGTGTTTATATAAGTAATATAGGTTATATATGTTTATATGTCTGTGTTTATGAATGTTTATACATACACATAAGGGGTGGCTAGGCCTATAGACATGTCTTAATTTCTGGGCTCAGTTGAGCCTCTTGTCCCAAAGTAACTGTGCCTACAAGCATTCACCATTATATCTCTCTAACCTTTCTAAAGTTTTCCTTCAACTTAATTTTAGTATAGTTAAGTATTTTTCTGTGGAGGTGTTTGAGACAGCGTCTCCAGGCCCCAGGCTGACCTTGATGAACTCCCTATATAGGTGAAGATGCCCTGGAATTATTGATTTTCCTGCTTCTGCTTCCTGAGTTCAAAGTCACTGGTGTACTACCACACCCAGTTTATGTTAACTGTTTTAAGTGTAAGGGTAAATAATGTTAAATATATTAAATTGTGCAGCAAAGCTGCAGAGCTCGCTTTAACTTGAAAACCCAAAGTGGTGAAAATCTGTACTCATGAAACAACCACTTTTCTCTCCCTACTAACTCCAGACAAAGAACATTTTACTTTCTGTATTGTAAATTTGGGTATTCTTTTTTGTTTGTTTGTTTGTTTTTTTCGAGACAGGGTTTCTCTGTGTAGCCCTGGCTGTCCTGGAACTCACTCTGTAGACCAGGCTGGGCTGGAACTCAGAAATCTGCCTGCCTCTGCCTCCCAAGTGCTGGGATTAAAGGCATGCGCCGCCACCGCCTGGCTAAATTTGGATATTCTAACTACCTTTTCTCCATAGAACAGTAGGTTGGGGTGTGTTGTGTGAAAGCGTGTCTTTGTATATCCATTTGTCAACTCTGTCCTGGCAAAGAGCTGCTAAATGCTAGCAGGACTCTGGTATTGTCATTTCTATGGTCCATTACCAGGCTTTCTATTTTGTAAATTATTCATTATTCTTTGCCGCCTAAGGCGGAATGCATCACTATTGATTGGCTGTAATAAAGATCTGATGGCCAATAGCTGAGCAGGAAGTGGAGGGCAGAACTTCTGAGGGGGTGGGAGGATGAACAAGAGAAAGAGAAGAGGGGAGGGGGAGAGCAAGGGGGAAAGAAGAGGGAGACAAAGGAGGAGGGGGGAGAGGGGGATAGAGAAAAAGAGAAAGGAGAGAGGGGGAGAGAGAGGGAGGGAGATGAGATGTGAGATATTCAGTCAGTGGACATGGAGGTGACAGACTAGAAAGGAGCAGAGAGGTAGACCTGGCCACAGGGTGGGACATAGTGCCAGGATTAGTCAGGCAGGAGACTGCCCAGCAAAAGGCCTACACTTTAAAATATTAATGAGTCTTTGTGTCATTATTTATATTGTTGGCGGTCCTAGATAGTTTCACTATAATCATACACTACTTTTCTTTTTTTCTTTTTCCTAGTGGCTTATTTCCTTTTTAGCACAATGTTCTTAGGATTCATTCACCTTGTAGCATTGGTCAGAATTTCTATCATATGTAAAGTAGGATAATACCACTTTGGGAGCGTACATTCAGCTTGTCTATGCTGGACATTAGTTGCTCCCCAGTTTTGACTATTGTAAATGACACACACCGGGCAGTGGTGGTGCACACTTTTAATCCCAGCACTTGGGAGGCAGAGGCAGGCGGATTTCTGAGTTCGAGGCCAGCCTGGTCTACAGAGTGAGTTCCAGGACAGCCTGGACAGCCCTGTCTCGAAATACCAAAAAATAAAATAAAAATAAAAATAAAAATAAAAAATAAAATAAAAATAATAATAAATAAATGAATAAATAGATAAATAAAAATTAAAAACACACTATGAACGTTGGCAAATATACACAGCTTGCTATATTTTGTTGTTCTCTTTTGACTGCCCATGGTAGAAATTCTTTCAAGCTGACACAGCTATACTTATATTACTTATAGTTAGTATACTTATATTACTTCTTTTAATGATTTCATGGCATTCTGTGGTGTGACTAGCACACCATAGATGTTTTGCTACCAATGGGCATCTTTGTCTCAAGGCTTAGATTTATTTTGTTCTTTAATGACACTGAATATAAGAACATTTTCTTGGACATATGTCTTTAAGTACTTATGTTTCTCTGCATTAGAGGATTTAGGTTTTTGTGTATTATTTGAATGGGAAATCTAATATTGTAGGGCAGGCAAAAACAGACTCCTGCTGATTAAAAAGCCTCCCATTTGAGCCAACAGAATGCTATTATTATATATGCTTCCAAGGATATGATGTGCCTAGCAACCAGAAATGTCAACAGCATGCTTTTATGGCAATAACAAATGTTTAAGCTTCACAAAAAAGAATCTAATAATGAGAGTTCTGTGGAGATTTCACCACTGGCTAGAAATGAAAGTACTTTAATTCTTTGTTATTTTAATAAGGTATTATTACATTGCCAATAACTAAATTTTATTACTTGTAACATTTTGGACATTGGTTGCTGACAATGTAATTTTGCATTGCTGGGGGACCAACTTCTTTCTGCTATAGTTTTCATTAGATTAATTTATAATCTCTCATAGCTATCTCTTTTGGTTCCACTCAGCTGTGAGATCAAGAGGAAATGAACAAGTATCCATAAAGATGTTTATAGAATTGAGATCCAGAGATGTTTGCTCATACTCTCTTTGGTCCACCATCATTGCATATGTATTTATGTGTGCAGTGTTGGAGCATGTCTTCCTGCTGATTTATGATTGATCCCCCTAGCTCTAAAGGAATTCAAATGAACTTCATATTCTAGGTCTGATGTAGCCGATCCATCTGAAGTAAGGCCTACTATGCCTTTCTCCATCCAAAATGGAAGCCTCTCTTTTTGTCTCCTCTCAAACTTATAAATTAATGTATAGTTTTCTAGTTTGCACTCCATTTTCCATGTAACGTGCTAACCAGGCATCCAAACCTTCCCACTTGGCTGGGCAGCTTTCTTGTCTCTTAATCATGGGCTGGTAAATAAATGTTCTTGAAGATTTGAAAGGCCACTTGAAAATTAAGACTATATAAGAAACTATAATAAGATTCTACTTTTCCCTCAATGGTTTCAGTTTAATGGTTTATAAAGTCTCAAAATCTGCAACAAACAAAATCCATCCCCTACCTGAACAAAAACATATTCTGGTTCCTGTGTCTATCTTAAATGTAAATAAATTGAGTATCCCAACCCAGAGTCTCCTTTTACCAGACAGATCTCTTGGATAGGCATTACAGACTCATTTGTTTGCTCCCTTCTAGAAGAAATCTTCCCTGGTACCTCAGAATGTGACTGGGGTGCAGATAAGGCCTGTAGGGTATGTAATTAAAGCAACTGAATCTGGGA